GGGTAGCGGTTGTGACGATGATGATAGTGGCATGGTGGTTGGTAGGGTGGAGGCAGGGTTGAGATGGTGGGGTGGTAGCTGTGACGACGATAGTAGTGGTGGGTGGCGGGGTTGTAGTTGTGACGGTGATAGTGGTGGCATGGTGGTCGGGTGGAAGTGGGTGGGTGTGACAACCACAGTGGTGGCTTGGTGGTCAGTAGTGGTTGGGATAGTGTGGGGGTGGGCAGTGTTGGTTATATTGGATGCAAAGGGATTGAATTCAATTCCTTCACTTATGCCAAGGAATGATTAATTCATAATTTGTGGACTTCAAAGGATTCCATCGATTTCAATATGTGAACCAAACAAAGGAAATGGAATTTGGTCAAAGGAATTGATCATTCCATTTTCTTTGAATTCTGCGAACCAAACAACACCTTATAGGTGTTGTAACTTGTAATTATACATGAATGGCTTTGCTGGGTTCTTTCAGATCTTTCTGAGCTTCTGAGGTCACCTATGAGCTGCATCACATGATGAAAATAAATAGAGAGAACCTAAAGAACCACAAACTATGACATTTATTATTTCAATTTACATCTTGGGTCTTAGTTGTATCAAAAACCTGTTCAGTTTCATGAATAGATTCAGTTCTAGCTTCTACTTTAGTAGCCAAATAAAATTGTATCCTGGCATGATGAGGATGAGAAATAAAATCTTATATCTTTATTTAAGAAATCATTGATGACAAACAGTTGATCAGCACTATCCTTGTAATTATAAGTATCATGTGTTTCTAATTTCATATTTAGTAAAAATTCTGTTGCTGCATTCCTGGGCACAAAATAAAAAAGATAAAGAAGAGAAGTAAAAAAAAGAGGATCAAGAGTATGCTGCTTAATCTTGGGTTCTTTTCAGCTTCTTGCTTCCCTAGTCATCTGATCCTAAGCTTCCCTTCGAGGTGCATTATATTATAGACACTTTCTTCCATCGTTTTTTGTTTTCTACAACTTCAATATCGTTGAATCAAATATATTTTTGCTTATTTCTAGTAACATTTATAGGATTACGTCAGTGATCCCGACAGGAGATTTGCTGCAGATACTGTTGCTGCTATTGGTCTGTGTGCTAAGCGGAATCCACAAGTAGCAAATACTTGCTTGGAGGGACTGCTGGCTCTTACCTCACCCAGTTAGTCATCAATCATTTATATGTTGTACATGGAAAAATTCTCGAATTATGAGCTTAACATTATTTACATTTGCAGAATCCGTAAATAGTACCTCTGGATCCACGGATGATGAAGCAGTTGTGTTAGTTCAAGCAATTACATCCATCAAAGATATAATAAAACAAGATCCATCAAGTCATGATAAGGTGCTTGTTAGCTTCTGCTAGATAGGATCTCGTATTACTTCTCATTTACTTGCCGTTACGTGTCTGAGTATAACTCTATAACCTAAACTTGTTTACTCATTTATGATGTTCAATGACCACCTATACAATTTGTTGTGGTGTCAAATGTTTGTACTACTTAAATACTTGGTTAGGTCTTAGCTTATATGCTTCATGATTATATTAAGGTCTTTATGCCAGGCAATCTGACAAGTCACTTCTACTACAGGCCATTATCTATTTGGCTCAAAATTTGGATGCAATCAAGGTTCCTGTGGCCCGTGCAATGATTGTTTGGATAGTAGGTGAATACAACTCTATTGGCAACATCATACCAAAAATGGTGTCTGTAATTCTAAGATATCTAGCTCGAAGCTTTCCTTCTGAGTCCATTGAAACAAAACATCAAATTCTGAATGCTGCTGTTAAGGTATGATGAACCAAACAGTTTACATAATCTTTATCACTGGATTAGTGGAAGAAAAAAATGGAACTTGTTTTGATCATGATTTATATAAATTCTTGCATTACTGTACTGCAAGAATCTTTTCAACTTCTGGTTTCATTTTTAGTCGAGTTCAATACTAAGCTTTTTATTGAGAGTTCTTTTATTTTTTCACAACTTCCATGAATAGGATCAATTATCTAGTAAATTAATAAGATTTTCTTTGATAATAAATTTTATTGCAGGTCCTTTTAAGTTCAAAGGGGGAAGATTTCCACACTGCAAGAAGCATACTAAGCTACGTGCTGGAGCTTGCCAAGTTTGATTTGAACTATGATGTTCGTGACCGTGCTCGTATCTTAAGGAAACTTCTGTCATGCTTCTACGTTAGTTCTAGTGGACTAGAGGAAGAATCCAGTCAGAAAAGTGAAAATAATGAACTTCCACTTTTGCTTGCAGAACATGTATTTGGTGAAAAAATAACATCTTCTGAAATGGTTAATAACCGGTTCTACCTTCCAGGATCCCTCTCACAGATAGTTCTCCATGCAGCTCCAGGATATGAACCTCTTCCGGAGCCTTGTAGTTTGACTGAATTGGATATTATTGAAGGAATGAAAATATCAGAGGAGGGACCCACTCAAGTGGGCTCGTATGAAGTCGACAATTCTGACGTAGACTCGGGGTCTTTGAATGAGGAAGGCAGTTACAGTTATGATTCAGAAGATTCTATCACTAGTTCAAGGGGAACTGATAACACCAATGAGGGTGCTGCAAGGGAAGCTGATAACACTGATTCATTAATCAACTTTTCTGATGTTGGCAAAGCACAAAAAGAGATTGAAGTCTCAGAGGAGAACGATTTTCATGGTGAATTGATGTCGAAAGGAGCTCTGGAATCATGGTTGGATGATAATCCTTCTTCAAGTCAGAATGTACCTGAAATGGATAACGAAAGGTCATCGTCAGCAAGGATCTCAATTGCAGATATTAGTAAGAGAATTAGACCTAAAACGCATATGCTTTTAGATCCAGCATATGGAAATGGTTTGAGAGTAGTATATAAATATTCATCAAAGGCTTCAACAATATCATCATCACTTGTAAGTGTTGAAGTTTCTTTTGAAAACTGTTCTAGTGAGCCAATATCAAAATTATTTCTGACCGATGAAGATTCTGGCATGAGTTCTGAATCGTTGGACCAAACATCGCCTACTGATGAAAGGTAATGGAAGAATTTTTACTTGCATACACAAGTTAGATTTTCATGATACTTCCTTTCTAACAAGACTTCTATGTAATCTAAGCAAGAAAAAAATTTATTATATTGTTTAATTTTTTTGTTAATTACCTTCCTTGTGGGCAAATTTAAGTTCGTTAGGAATCCATCATCAGTGATTGCTGGCTTGGACTATCTGTTACCTCCTTTATGCAGCTACCAGTTCACATTCTACTTCCCCCACTCCTATATTTTTGCCCATTTAATTGGTCATCTGCTTACTCATTTGTGCATGTATGTGAAAACATTCAACCGAAAATATGTTGTTAGAATTGTTATAGCACACTTACCTTTCTAACTTTTTGAGTGAGTGTTACCTGTAAGCTACTTTATGCAACTTCCATGTTTAGTAGACTAACCGTTTTTCAAATCTCTCTTATGTTGTGCAAGAGTCTTCTTGATCATCATGTTTGCTATGTATATATATAAATTTTTGAGTGAGTGTTACCTGTAAGCTACTTTATGCAACTTCCATGTTCAATAGACCAACTGTTTTTCAAATCTATCTTATGTTGTGCAAGAGTCTTCTTGATCATCATGTTTGCTAAAGGTTCAAACGAGAACACCTTCATTTTGCGAGAACACCCTTTTACTATGGATAATCACATGTGATACTATTATTTCATCACATATGATACACATGTGATACTAAATTAGAGACGCGGACGATTTTCGATGCGATCTTGGTTGCGGGCCAAGTCGCTCTTACACCACTAAGCTCCCTCACATGTATTATGACATATGTTAAGGGTGTTGTTGATATGATACTATAATATATTAAGACCATCACATGTGATGCTAAATCATAGACACATACAACCTTTGGCGCGGACTAAGTCCTAGAACAAGTCGTCCGCACATCACAGGTCCCTTCACGCGTATTATCACATATGATAAGGGTGTTCTCGCGTTCTCGTAAAATGGAGGTGTTCTCGTTTGAACCTCCACCTATATATATATATATATATATATATATATAGTTCACCCACTTTCTTGTCATATAAAATGATAAGTCATTTATGTTTTTCTAATGGTTAATCATTCTAATTCTTGTGAACGGTGTCCAGTTCTTTGCAATCTGAGAAGGAAGTACCTACCCTGGTCCCCATGGAAGAAATTACTGTGCTTGAACCAGGTCAGACTACAAATAGAATAATCCAAGTTCGCTTTCATCATCATCTTTTACCTTTGAAGCTTGTCTTATGGTGCAATGGCAAGAAAAACCCGGTTAAGTTGCGGCCTGACATAGGATATTTCATAAAGCCTCTCCCGATGGACATTGATCTTTTTTCGCACAAAGAATCCCAACTCCCTGGAATGTTTGAATATACAAGGAGGTAAGATACTACTACTATCTTTCCATCCCTGCCATCTCCCCCCCCTTTTCTTCTTCTCCCCGTGTATGTGGTGTGGGTCAGCATCATTGATTGGATTTGGGTAGACACTATGCACATGTGCATCGTTAGGCATACACACAGTTACCTTTCTGCTTTGGTTAACGTATGCATTACAGAAACAAAACTTCATATTTAGGATCTTTAATTTTGTTATGCTTAAAGGCCTAAGATCACTATTTTCGTAAACCAAACATAACTAGTAAAACTGTAGTATATTTAAAATCTGTTTGTACATATATACAGTCATACCGCTTTGACCTTCATACTCCCTTTGTTCCAAAATAAGTGTCCACATTTCTATTTTATTTTGTCCAGAAACAAGTGTCTGAATTCAATAGTGTCTACCTTCCAATTCTACCCAAAATTATGAGATGGAGAAATTAATTACTACCGCTTTTATTTAGGGTACAATTGTCATTTGGTTAATTAAAAAGTGTAATAATTACACATTTTTAAAACATTATGCAATTTTCATTGGGGAAATTTATATTTAGGACGGAGGTAAGTAGGTAGTATCATAACGGAGGACGATAAAAGGCTCTATTCACAACCAACTCTTATTTTGTGGCACCTTTCTTTGCACTTATTTACTTCCACTTCCACTGCAACAGATGTTCCTTCACCGACCACCTTACAGAGCTGACTGATGACAAGGATGGCGATGGCTCATCGATAAAGGATTCATTCCTGGTTATATGCGAAAGTTTGGCATCAAAGATGCTAAGCAATGCAAATGTTTATCTTGTATCCGTGAACATGCCGGTGGCTGCAAACCTGAATGACGCTTCAGGTCTGTGTTTACGTTTCAGCAGTGAGATCCTTAGTACCTCGATTCCATGCCTTATCTCTGTTAAGCTCGATGGTAAATGCTTTGAACCCCTAAATGCATCTGTCAAAATTAACTGCGAAGAAACTGTGTTTGGTCTGAATCTGTTGAATAGAATCGTAAACTTTTTAGCCGAGCCTGCGGTGACTAGTTAGGTACAGGTTACAATTGCTGATTAAAAATGTGAAAGAGTGTACCGTTATCGGGGTTCCTTCTCTTTGGTCGTGTAAACCAAGCCTGCTGGGAATTCTTTTTGTTTTTTTATTTTTGAAAAAATGAACACTGGTGTTTTTGTGTTAAATATTTCCTATTATTGTACCTCTCGCATTCCGTCCAAATATTATAAGATTCGTGTATATAACACATTCTTTTTGTTGGAAAACACGTATACATACTGCACTTTCTTCTTTATTCCGTTTTCATTTTCAGATTTTTAAAGTCAATTGTACATTATGACCTAACATTGAATCTTTTATGTGCTTGAGTTTGAGATGGTTAATTTGTTTATTTGTTTGAGCTTCTTAAACTTTGTTTTCAAAATATTAAAAAAAATTATGATTTATAAACATATTAGAATAGAAAAGTGTACATCTGTATGGCTTGGTTCGTTTCAAAAAATTAATTGAGTTTTTAAATTTGGTTTTAAGGAGCTAAATGTGTTTTATTTTATATTTATGATCGACTTGATGCAATCAAACTCACTCTGATTAAAGTTGTCGTTAAAAAATCAAAGGTGATGAAATGGTGCATGGTTAAAAAGTATTTGACTAAAGCCATCGTTAAATAAGAGGTGGAAAATCTGATAAAAATTCATCTAGGTTATTAGTTCAAAGAGAGTGTAATATTTCTTTTGGGGAACCAAATTGAGAAGGTTTTTTTCTTATCCTAAAATATGATAATACCTATATTATATTATAAAACATTTGACAAAAATTCTTAAAAACTATTTTTTATGCGTAAAGTACTGTTTATTAATGCATATTACTTAAACTCAATATTGCAAGTAGATTTTGCGTAAGTACAACTTATTAAATCTCATTATCTGAATTCGTGTAACTAACTGCAGATAAACATAATCAAATACAGGATAAACATCTCATTTTAAATATAAAAAATTTAAAATATAATTAGGATAACCATTGAAATCTAACAGAATACTTAATTATTATCTTTATAAAATGTTAAATTATTAAACCAAAAATATATTATTTTATTATTAAACTTAAATTAAATTGTAATAAAAATAATAAATTAAAGAAATTACATTAAAAAATGAGAACTTTTAAACAGTTGATTTGATATTAACATTGATATATTTTTTTTTTCAAAATTTTATGGTATTTTCAAATTTATATTTTATTCAAAAATAAAATCATTATTGCTTTCTTAAAAACACATAAAATCGTATCATAACATCGACAGAGACAAATAATAGAATAAAACATGAACATTAAAATCGAGATGTGTCTCGTTGCATTGTGCAAATACTCTTCTAGTTTTAATAAAATATTTGATTGTAACTTAGATATTTAAAATAGAAAATACTTGAACCGTAAACAAAAATTTGTCATTTTTAATTTAAAATCACGACAATTCAAATTGTAAATGAATAAGAAAGAATTATTAGGTAAAATAAAAAAACGCCATCCGTGGGACTCGAACCCACGACCACGTGGTTAAAAGCCACGCGCTCTACCAACTGAGCTAGAACGGCTTCGTGTCATTACTATTAGTAATTATAATAATATACGATTTAATTGGCTGTCTATATGTTTAGTTGATAAGGTTATGTTATGGTTAGATGAACAAAAATCCCATTTCAAGACACTTGGAATACCAACAATACATATAAATCTCATTCAATATTCCCAATTGGGATCTCAATATGTCACATTTCTTCTTTACATTCTATTGTGCTTTCTTTCACCCAACCCCAATTCATGTCAAAACTGTACACCTCTCTTTTCTCAACTCCTCTTCTCACTACTCGATCCCGATCCCGATCCCGAACCTGCAGGTCTCGGATATGAACTGGGCTTGCTATCGTGGTGTCTCCGAATCGGTTCTCTTCTTGAACCATCCGTGGCCTTTTGCAACTCTTGAAGCTGCTCCAATGCTTTTACCACCTCCTCAGCACTCGGTCTGTGCTTCGGTTCTTTCAACAAACATTTCATCGCAAGCATTGCCGCTCTGATTGCTACAGTTGGTGAGTATTGCCCACCTATTCGCGGGTCCATGATGTAAAGAATCCTTCGTTTGCTGCTCAAATACGGTTTAGCAAACTCAACGAGTATTTGCTCACCAGATGGGCGGTTCTTGTCGATGCACCGCCTCCCTGTCAAGATTTCCAGGAGAACCACCCCAAAACTGTATATGTCACTTCTTGCGGTTAAGTGACCTTCATTGGATGCATCATTTACAAAAAGGTTAGATCAATGAGGACAAATGGAACAAGATATGACAAGCATTGAATCAAGATTTTTCACTAAGGACAAAAACTGAGGGCTTGACTTCTATAAGGCTACATTGGCTACTTAACAGGACAGGACAAACAAAAGCAAGGCAGATGGGTGAAAGAATTAAGAAATTGGGCAAGATTTTTAAGGGTTTAATTTGATATGGGTAGTTTAGTAACTTACTCCTCCCTGTGATGTTTGTTCCTAGTGTGTCCCACCCAATTATTTGTCCTGGCCCTGTCTAGTGTCGCAACAAACGTGGGACAATAAGTTTTTGTTCTGTCACGTCTGCATACCAAAGGCATCCAAATGGAGTCGTTGGTATTCATTCATTGGTTTCAGAACTGCTATTATAGTCTTAATAGCAAGATCCAAACTTGGGATGCTCGGGGTTATGTTAAGGACGTCTCGACCGTTTCGACTAGTTGTTCTGATACTTGACTATTTTTACTTGGCTTACCTGTGGCCATGTATTCAGGAGCTGCATATCCATATGTGCCCATAACTCTTGTGGAGACGTGGCTTTTCCCATCTACTGGTCCGTCCTTTGCCAACCCGAAATCAGAAAGTTTTGCATTGTAATTCTGGTTGAAAATACAAGTGAAATTTGTAAGGAAGTATGTAAAAAATGCTAAATGCAGTTCAAGATCTACATAAAGATATCAATTTGAGAAACATACAGAATCGATCAAGATATTGGAAGACTTGAAATCACGGTATATCACTTTTGCTTCCGGGCTGTGAAGATACGCGAGCCCCTTTGCAGCCCCAAGTGCAACCTTAATTCGTAGGTTCCAAGAGAGTGGTTGAAAGTAGGAACTCCCTGTTATAAAGATCGAATCAGACGTGTAAGTCGTGAATAAAGTGATAATAGCATTCAAGGGGAAGGTTCAAATGAGAAGCGTAAATATTTTGAGAACATGAGAACCAACTATTTTATTAATTATTCATGATGAATAACCCTAAAACATTCATCAACATTATTCATTATTCATCATTAATATCTATCAGGATATTCATAATGAATAATTTATGAATAGTTGGTTTCCAGGTTCTCAAAATATTTACAGTTCTCATTTTGAACCTGCCCCGAGTATTCAGTGAAAGATATTGGGGAAAGTTGGATGCAGAAGTAATAAACAATGGCAAGAACTCACTCCTGAATAGATGGTTTTCCAGGCTGCCTCGAGGCATGAACTCATATACTAGGAGTCTCTGGTCATCCTCTAGGCAGTAACCAATTAACTTCACAAGATTTGGATGATTTAGCAGTCCTAAATAATTAATTTCAGACTGCAAAAACGTTAACAAAACAAACCAATTTACTTCTTGTACAATATTTGAATGACTTTGATTCAATAAACCATTGAAAAAGATCTAAGAATTTGTTCTTACCAACCACTCTTGATGGCCTTGAAGACCTTCTTGGTTTAACCGCTTTACAGCAATAACAGTGCCAGTACCGGGCTTGGCAGCTGCAAGTGATTGCTCATCGATCCACCCCTTGAAAACGGAACCAAAACCACCTTCTCCCAGAACACTATCTGGACGGAAGTTCCTGGTAGCCATTTTAAGTACATTAAAACTGAAGGGCTTCAAATCTCCTGACTGCAAAATCTCGGTCTGAGTCCTGGGGCTCCGAGGGCTAGGTGGTACCGAGGCAGACGTAACCTTACCTATTAAAGACATGAAAAGACCAGATTAGCCTTAAACATCTTGATCATCAACACTATGGTCCCCAACAATTCACACCAAAGTGGCATCGTTATGATGCATGTTAGAGTCCCACTAATTGCTAAGGGCTCTTTTGAAGAATAATCTAATAGGATTAGACATATTCTTCTCATATCTCTCTTCAGGCTTTCTCGAAAAATAATCTAATTGGGTTAGACATGGTATTAAGTGCAAGCTGTACTCATCTAGCCACTTTGCTGATTGGGACTGTTCCTGCTGTTATGCTCTCTGGGGTCTCTTTATTCCATATATGGGATTGGTATTGAATTGAAAAACCCATGTCTTAATCTTGCTGCTAAATATAGTAATCTACCTACTAGAACCACACTAAATCTGGAAAAGTTCAACCTCTGTCAAGAAAATCAACTCTATCATATCAGAAAGCAACTCTATCTTAGAGAAAGCTACAGTGAACTCAACAAGTGTCATGGATCTATTTTCTTTACTGAATAGCAACACAAAATAGAATTAGAGTAAGGTCTTTTTAAGGAAACATACAAAATATATCAATCCACAAATATCAATAATGAGGTGAAATAAGAGCTGTGTCTGTTGGTAAGGTTTTTTCCTAAGGCAAACATACAAAAACCTCATCTCGGAAAGTTAATCATAAACTGAAACAACAAAGAGATGCGTGCTTTAATGAATGTGTGTGATAACTGATAAAGAGAGATCAATAAACATCGGAGCATTTCAAGAAAAAGGAAGTTGCAAAAGCAAAACGTCCCCATTTTTGCTGCAAGATCATAAGATCAAATCTTGCCCAGTTTTTTTTTAAGGAAAAAAACAGTTACAACAGCGACTGAAATCACGAGAAGATGATACCATTTACTCACCATCGAGACGTGAACTATCGATTTTTAATCCAACACTGAAACAAGAACCCATCTTTGATCTTCTTTCTTGCCCTTGATTTCAAACACCAACTGGAATCTCACCCTTCTCGTTAAAGAAGATAGAGGGGGAGAGAGAGAGAGAGAGAAAAAAAAGGGTTTATTTTCTTTCAACAGAACAGTAAAGAACCGTGAAAAGAACTCAATGGGGGAATTAAATCAAACAGTTGGAAGGTGTGAACCTAAACGTAGACTAGATACGTGTTCAAAATACATATACATATGTATGTGAGTGTGTGTTGAATGGCTAAAGTATGTACGTGTAAGCAGATAAAAAGCTTTCGAGAAGAATTATAGAAAGCCAAAGACAAAAGGTTTGACTTGTCGCCATTAATTTCTCACTGCAACTTGCTCCATTTTCTACACCACCTCCGTCTATGATTAACCCCACCCAGCTCTCTTTTGTCTTTATTCATCGCCAAAATCGCATGGAGGAATCCAGCGATGGTTTTCGTTAAAAAATTGTTTATGGGCTCTTCAATTATTAATCAGAAAACCAAGAACATGAGGAAGTAAACGAGTCAAGAGCCCCCACAAGATTCTGCCAAATGTTTTTAACCATTTTTAGTCCAACAACGATCGATTTTCATTTTTGATTCATTAAACTCTTTTTTTAAATTCTGCATTAATTTGATGTTTTTTGAATTTTATATTATTGTCATATATATATATATATATATATATATATATATATATGAACTGTAAATAAGTTGTTAGTAGTTTAACGAGATTTATAGTTTGTTCAGTCAACTATACATAACAGTAGATAGTTGTTTAATGATATAAAAAATAGTTAATTTAATAAGTTTACAATAAAAGTAAAAAAAAAAATTTCAAACTTGTATCTCCCAATTAACAAAACACTACTTCCATCTATGAAAAACTCTACCAAACAAAATCCTTTTCAGTTCATACAGACAAATTAATCTACATAGATATCTTTTATTCATAATAATTAATAGAAAACCAACTAAATAATCCCAAGTTCGGTTTTAAAATTTTTGAATCAGACAATCAATTATGAGATGTTAACCTGACGAAATCAACTAAGTGGCTTTGATTTGAACAATTTATTCTCTCTCGACCGAATCATGTAAATCACTCAACTTATCCACTTTGCAGAAAATGAGCAAAATAAAGATCGATATATGAAGGAAGAAAATTAAGATTTAAAAATGAAAAGGTTTTCTTTCGTAAAATATGGAAGAAAAGAGAAGGAAAATAAATAAAATAAATTAAAACCCTTAAAAAAGATTATAAAAATTACAAAATTATATAAGTTTTCATTTTGAAGGATATTTTTAAAGAGTACATTTTAAAAAATGACATTTTCTCTTTCCTCTCTTGTCTAATGAAAAATTATTTTATTTTTCTTTATTTTTCTTTATTTTTGAGAACACAAATAAAAAAAGTTCTTTTTCCTTTCATTTCTTTTATTTTCTCTTCTCCATAAATTAAAAAACACAGTGTTAAGATTTTTTTTTATTAACTTGGATATCCAACCCATTATGCGAGCCAACTAATCTCAGGATGACCACCTGCTTTACATATAACCCGGAGTCACCGCATTTGAATCTCTATGGCCACAAGAGAATTTTTATTTCTCTTTCGATTTGAACCTGAGATCTCTTGGTACTTTTGATCTTTAGAGTCAAGCTCAAACCAATCAGACATCACCCTTGTGGTTCTCCCCATCTATTTATCTTTTAAATGGAAGTCACTTGTTTTTGCAAACCGTAATGCTTTTATTATAAAAATATAAGATGATAAAAATGTAAATAAAATTGTATATTTATGTATTAAAGCAATGCTAAGATTATTTACTTTATATCACATGCAAAGATATGATAAAAATCAATAGTCGGTAACAAAAGAAGATATGATGAATATGGATGTGAACAGAAGCTAAAATCTTGAAAAATCAAAACGACATAAATTTAAAGAAATTTTAAATTAAATTTTTTTTGCACATGGATTCTTGGTCGTTAGGAATCGTAAAACTAAAATAATACCCAAAGTCCTCACATTCACACTTCAAAATTCTTTTATTATTATTATTATTATTATTATTATTATTATTATTATTATTATTATTATTATTATTATTATTATAGATATGGTCCTTGTATTTTGATGTTTTCTATAACTACAGTATTTATATTATAGTTATTATAGATTTGGTCTTTATGTTGTGCAATTTGTTATGATCATTGTCTCTATGTTTTTACTTTCGTTAAAAAATTTGTTAACTCGGTTAAATTAGATGACATTTTGGTCTGACTCATTTTTGTGTTTTTCATCTTAGAAAATAATATATAATTGTATCATATAAAATATTATATTAGAGTTTGCTTCAAATGCAACCTATCGCATTTGTATAACCAATGCAACCTAATATATCGAAATATTTATGGAAATGATGAGAGTTTATTTATTATGATTTAAATATTTATGAAAGATGAATAAGGTTCATTAATTATGATTAATACCTTATATTATGAAGCAATCAAAACTTCTATAAAATTACATATTTATTAAATTAAATGTACGGTTGAGATTGAGTTGTATTGGTTGTACAAATGTAAGGGGTTGTATATTAGGAAACAATCAAAACTTCTATAAAATTACATATTTATTAAATCATATGAAGATATATACATACACACACACACACACACACACACATATATATATATATATAGAGAGAGAGAGAGAGAGAGAGAGAGTGTGTGTGTGTGTGTGCGTGTGTTAATCATTCGTGAACCAAATAGTTAGTGGTAACTTTGCAAACCAATAATGACAAATCAAACGTCAAGTTAGAATGATAATTCATATCAGCCATTTTATATGGAGCAAGGGTAGTTTTGTACTTCTATTTAGTTAAATGATTACATTATCATTTCCATAATTTTAGAGGTTGATAATTATGGATGTTATTGGGGTTGTTTGTTTTGAGTTATTTACTTGACATTTGTTTCATGATTAATTACATAACAATATTATGTTAAAAGATGAAGAGAGTTGTTTGTTTATAGAAATCATGATTTCATACTTGTATCATAAAAGTCATTGTCATCCATGTTCATAAATGAAACCAGGTTCATGTTCATAAGTAACAACCTACAGAAAAGTGGGATGATCCAATCAACCTTGTGGGATGGACGTGAGAGGGCAGGGATGACTATATTTCTGGGAGCGAACTCCAGGCAAAGTCATGCCCAAAAGTGAACATAGGAATTTCATAAGTGAAACCAGGAATTAAATTTCACAACTATTCAGTAAAAGTTCATATCTTCAACTTGTTCTGATGCCTTTCCTTTAATTTGTTTCCCTCTTCATAAGTGAAACCAAATTCTATAATGTTTAAGTAATGAAAATTTCTACCATCATTAACACGTTACCATCTTAACATAATGAATCATGCCACCATAATTGGAATTGGTGCAATTTCTCAATGAAGGAGATATTTTAGGGAATGTGATATTTTCATACTCTACGCCTAAATGAAACTTTACCATCATACCCTTGTTTACAATCGTTTTATTCAATTTCACATACATCAGCTTCCAGTTTATTATATATATATATATATATATATATATATATAAGCGAATGATCGTATGAAAAACGTAAGAATGGATCTAGATTCTTGATCATTTTGATCTCTTGCCCATCTATGAATTGCGTTTCTCATAGAATTGATCTGGTGCATCCCGATACATCTCATCCTAACGTGCATTCAGGGGTGGAGATCCCTTTTTACGGTTCTCACCTTAACTCTCTTTCTCACTTATCGGGACGCAACCCCACACACATACACTTACATATACATACATGAGGGAGACATAGAGTTTGAGACCGTTCATAGGAACCTGCTACCATTCATCGACGACTTAACCTTACCTCACCCAACGTAGTGTGTTCCATGTGACCCCCTGGCTCCCATTCAACCCCAACCCCTTCCTTCCCCTTCGTTTTCCTTGTCTCTAGCAGCAACCACCATCTCCCCCCCCCCCCCAAACCACAAACCCTTTTCCCTTCTCCCATGAAAACCACTGCAATTGGAATCGTATATGTAGTTTGAATCAATTAAACTAAATTAAGAGAAAGAGCATGTGCAATAACGCCTAAGTGTAAATGTAAACCCTTAAAATTTTGATGGTTATTTCTATATATTTAACCATATACATTCCTCTAAACTTGACAATGTGTGAGTATATTTTCATGAGACTCATTTGCTTGTTTGTTTCACTTGACGCATTGATGTGTGTGTGTGTATTTTCACATTTGGGGGAGGTCAGAAATAGAGACCAGCGAAGAGGAGAAGGAAGGCATATGTCAATGACTTTGTATGTATGCATGTGTGTGTGTACTTGTATCTTTAAATAGGAAGATACAAAAAGGTAAAAAGACCAAACCGTCGACTGTGTTAACAGCACTAACAAAATTGTTTTTAACGTTGTTAGTCAGAAATCAAAATGACCATGGGCATGATAAATTAAATACCACCGAAAACAAATCCTTATTAAACATAGTATAAAGACCACAGTCATAAAAGACATCAAAACACATGAATCAAATCTACAATTCACTCCTATTATTAGCGTGTGAATGTATGGTATACAGATTATAACGATTTTTTCACATAAAAAAGTATATTTGTATCAATTACTAAATTTTTGTGTATGATTAATTAAATGCTAATGGTCTACTAAATTGTAGGTTATTTTTTTATAAGTACTAAGTCTCTTATAAAAAGTGTTAGTAGTCGTTTAATTGTTGACGAAAAACCCAACATAAAACTATGTTAGGTTTAATAAAACATAATCTTGATTACTTTCGGGAGAAGTCGCAAGAAATAATGCAGCATTTGTTTCGTTTCCTCAAATATAATAGTTGTAAATGGTTTCAAACATGATGGTGAGGTCAAAACTCAAGCCTTGGGAGTCATGACATGAGTTTTTTTAAGGCATGACCTACGACGGTAAATCCCTATATTATATATAATATTATATATGTAGGGTTTTAAAACGATTTTGTAACTATTTAAATGCTGCAGAAAATTATTTTAGGCTACAAATAATTAGAATCTTTATCCTAAAGTTTAAAACAAATTCAAATGACAATTAAAACAAGTTAGATTTTCTCTATGGTGTTTAGAGTTGTAACTTTAGTCGCTTCCGACGAAGT